AGTTAACAGCTATGTGCCAGGGTGTGTTCCATGTGCTTTACAGATATTGATTCCTTTCATCCTTATTAACGTCTCATCACATATTATTATCCCCATTTTGCAGACCAGGAGCCTTAGGCTCTACAGAGAGGTAAAGTCACTTTAAACCACACAGCCATTCATGGCACAGTGGCCTGTGGATGGAGGGGGCAGACTGGCTATGCTCTTAAATACTGTGCTGTAACATCTGTTGACATCAGAGTTATTAAAATGCTGGCAATAGGAAAGATGTAGCTAGACCCAGATTTCTATGAAAAGCAACAAATATAGTAACTTACGACTTTTTTAACTAAACTTCAATTTGGTTGAACAAATGTGGGCCTCATCTACCCCCTGCATTTGCTCTAGTTATCAGTGTACATACTTCTCATCTCAGACCCCAGAACTAATGACTGGGACTGAGATGAAGTTTTAGAAGTAGAGCCATGTGAGTGGGTCATCATGACATAGTACTTACTAATCCTCTCTCCCTCCCTCCCTCCCTCCCTCCCTCCCTTCCTTTCTTTCCTGCTCAGTGTATACTTATTACTTAATTTATGTACATAGTACTTTATCGTACATCCCACCACCCCCAAAAAATGAACTGCTCCCAAATTTCTGGTGAATCAAATTTAGGCGAGCCTTGGAATAGGAGAAATGGGTCCTAGCTGCCTCTTTCTCTCATGGTGGCCGTGGGTGGATTTGGTCCCTGGAATGAACCTGGCAAGTTCTGTGGGCAGAATGCTCTTGATCCAAAGCCTAGCAGCTGCCCTTCCTCCAGAGGTTGCGTCCCAGCTGCTGTGTGAGGTAGAGCTCAGGATGGCCGGCCGGAGCCCATGCTGCTGCTGCGAAGCCCAACTCTGTCTCTGGCCGACCCGCTGCCACCTCCTCCCTCAAGATGAGGAGCTTGGCAAACGCCAAGTCAAGACGTGCCATCTAGGAATGAAATTCAAATTCAGGGGCGAATTGTTAGAGAATTTGAGCTTGGAGAAAAGGTCATGTTGCTATAATGTGGTCATTATTAACATTTATAGCATTTATGTGAGAGATTGATTATTCATGAGTTTTCTTGCCGTCTCTCTCTGTCTGGCAGTTGAAACACATAAAATCCAAAGGGCCGGTGAGTACTGGTTTCCATTCATGGTGAACTTTCTGAGAGAGAGCAGAGCTCTATTATACTTGCTCTGGGGTGTCATGATGCCCTGTCCCAGAGGCCTGCTGTCCCATGCCGAGAGAGAAATTGAGAATGACCCAGGTCCAGCCAGTCTTCGAGGCACACTGAATTCAGAAGAAACCGATGTGAAAGAGCTGGAAAATAGGAGGTAGGAGAAAAGGCTATAGGAACTGGAAGGGATTTGCACGATGTTCTTGGTTCCTCTTTATTTTCCCAAGATTGGAAGCCATTGCAGTGCTGGGACATGCCCTTATTTGGTCTCTCCTTATGCTTAATTCTGGGCTGTGCATAAAGTAACAGCACATGTGAACATTATGGGACTAGAACTTATCTCTTCTACCTTTTCCTGAGAATGTAGTCTAAGGAAGGGCGGGAGGATTCTTAGGCCGTTAGTAGAATCAGTCAGATTTTAAGAGGACACTGATGGACACACAAACGAGGTAAAACTATTGCTGAGGTACTGTCGTGTTACCTTAAATCGCTAGAATCTACTTTGTAGCCCAAGAGACCCTAGAACTAGCCTAGGCCATGACTGAAATGGCTGTGTTTCAGGGGAAATTCAGATTCCTCCCAGATAGCAGCAGTTAAGTGGAAGGGCGTACTGTTAGCAAAAGTTTGTTTGTTTGGGGGAAGCCAACAGAATTCTGCCAGATGTCGCAGACATATGTGACCCGTGCCATTCCTGGTCCCCAAAGAGCACCAATATCAATCACAGTGCTCCCAAAGATAAAAACGGATATATTTTGCCAAATTATCTCATTCAGTCAACCCTCACCAACCATGGGGTTGACCGCCCATCAAAGTACTTCTCTATAGCAGCAAAATCATAGCTGGCAAGCACAGGGTCTCAAAAATATAGGCACTTTGGAAAAATAAAAGTCGTATTATATACGTGATTAAAACAGTAACTGAAAGTTCTAGAAGGCATCCACCCCCAAAATAACCTTTGTTTAATCAAGGATCCACTGCCAAAATAAACGTTATTTAATCATGAGGGTGACCACATGTGGGTGACTTTTGCCTCTTCAGTTGTCTGAGAGACATTGCCCACGTCATCTGCTAAGGTAGAAGCTCCCAGCTGCCAACTGGCTCTTTTTAGCGTAGTAGAACCAGCCCTCACTGGCTTGAAAGAAAGAGCCCTTTGCAATTGCCTGCTCACTCTGGCTTGGTCTTTCCCTCTCTCTTTCCCTCTCCTCTCCTCCATCACTTCTCTTCCCTGCCTCCCCTTTGAAAATACTAGTCTAGGCCATTGTGTAGCCTGCTAAATTTTCACAAATTACACAAGAGCTTAAGGGCATATTTTTTGAAGTCTAAACTTGCATCCAATCTTATTTGGGAGGGTGGGTCTTACTGATCTCCTTTTCTGTCCTCTCTAGGAACTGCCCTATAGTGCCTCATCTCCCAAGTCTGCAGGTAGGGAGGACAGTAATTGTGGATTTTCCTCTAAGGAGTTAGGATAGAAGTAACAAGATAGCTGATGTTATATTTTTGGTAGCAAGTGTAAAACGTTATCTCAGAACCTGGAGTGAAAGATTGTTGCATAGAAAATACTAAGGAACCTTGCTGTTGGTGAGAGATGCTGAGTAAGAGAGAAAGGGTGGGGTGGTGGGCATCAGGAGGAAGGAGAATGCAAAGACAAATATGGGAATAGCATTTTGGATCAGGGTGAGTATGGTTTCAGTGGAGGGTTACACAGAGGATGGGACCTGCTGATCTCTACATCTTTAGAGCTCAGACCAAGAAGTGGGCCCAAGGCACAGCACAAGGCATTTAGGCTAGGCCTACAGACTAACCGTCAGGGTGGCTAAATAGGGGCCAGAGTCACAGTATCCTTAGGATTTAGTTCAGCTGCCAGTGACAGGAACACTCAAAATAACAGGCTTAAACAAGATCAGAAGATCACATGGAAGACCTGGAGGCCGGCAATCCAGGGCCGGTGTGTTGGCCTCACAGTTATGAGGGACCTGAGTTCATTCGGGCCTTCTGCTCCCCCATTCCTATGGTGTGGCTTCCTCTTCATGGTCCAGGATGGTGTTGAAGCTCCAGCCATCATATCTCAGGTTAGAAGTCCCACCAACACTGCAGTTTACCCTTCCTTGGCCAGAACTTGTGGCCAGTCATGTAGCCACATCTTCCTGTAAGAGAGGGAGATTCAGGAATGTCATCTTTTATCTGTGTGGCAAGATGCCCAGCCAAAACAGGGCTTCAAATAATTTGAGAGAGAAGAAGAGAACCTCCATAACTAAGAAAAGTCATAGACGTTCCTCATCTCGAGGTATTTGTTCATTCAGTGAATACGGAGTGTCTAATATATTCAGGCATTGCTTGAGGGCAGTGGGGAAGAAGGCAGATGGGTTTCTGTTCTCAAGAAACTTACAGTCTAGGGGGAGGCAAGACAGACAATACACTAACAGTAAATGTGTCCCGGTTGACAATCTACATTCTATACGCAAGTCGTTCCAATGTGCTGTCTTCAGATGTACCTGTACGTAATTAATGATTGCAGCAGACAGTGTCAAACATCGCTGCTAATGCCTGCGGGCATCTTGGGCAGCCAACATCAGCATCTCTTTGATAGGAATTCAGCTCATCAAATACTCCTGAGGGCCTGCTGTGAGAAGAGTCGTGAGGGAAGAGGAGGAGGAAGTAGTCAACAGTTAGTAAGCCAGAGCCCCACCTTGAAAGTGGCCCCGGAGTCATTCTGTGGCCAGCGCCCTCATTGGCCAACATGCCCAGAACGACTCGAGGGTAAGAATCCAGCTGTAGAATCTCAAGTCTCTTTTCTTTTCCTTGAGTGGAGAGGAGTTGGGGCTCTTTCCTTGCTAAGGTGCAGAGCTGTGTGATGAGGAGAATTTTGTGGTCCCTGTGGGCTTTTGAGGCCAAGCTGGGGAAGCTGGGAAAACACAAGGACATGGCCTTTTACTGCTTACGTGACCTTCAGCCAGCAGTCCCTGAGTTTGGTTTTGCTGGGAACCGGGCAGGCGTCCAAGTTCAGTTCCCATGTTTTAAGTGGGCGTGTGTTCTAAATTAAACCTGGAGCCTGGGTTGCCCACTCAGAACTCCTGCTCTGGCCGCTGTGCAATGACCTAGATCACTGATTCTCAAACTATCCGAGGTGAGGGACCAGTTTTTTTGTTTTGATTTAAGTTTCAATTTCTAATTTGTCACAAAAATGAAATATTAGAAAAATGAAATTAAAAAGACATACAAAATACAAACAGACTTCTGTTGTTAGATTCAAGAGACATAAAATTACTCTGCCCAATTGCTCTTAAAGTTTCTAAAGGCTAAGTCAATTCCTGGACTGGAGTTTTCCAGGAGCAAAGAGTTCAGGGCCATCAGTACCAGCCCAGGGTCTGCACTTCAGGCAGCAGGGTCCTCCAGGGCCAGGGCCGGTCAGGGATGGCTGTCCTTCCCAGCTCTGAGTTAGGACAGTTCTGAGGAGAATGATGAAGCTCCCCCGCAGCCTAGGTGTGCCTCCTGCCCCGCACAGCTGTCTCTGGCGCCCCCTGCCTAGCTCCCCCTGTCTTTAACTGCCACCTGAGTACAAGGAACAGCTTGGCTGGCTCTCCTATCATAGTCCCCACGTGCAAGTAAAAACTTTATTGCACACTTGCAGCCAGAGAAATGAAAGGTCACAGCTAATTGTAATCATTATCCAGGCTCCCCTACCTGAACAGCACTTTTGGCGTATACTGGTTTGATTAGCAAAGCAGCCAAACGAAAGGCGGGCGGTCGTCTCCGGCTGGCTGGCCTGGCCCGGCCAGCCCAGGCAGGGTTGGGGGTCACTGTTGACCCTGTGTTGCAGTTCTCCAAGGAGAGGCACATCATGGACAGGACCCCCGAGAGGCTGAAGAAGGAGCTGGAGGAGGAGCTGCTGCTGAGCAGCGAGGACCTGCGCAGCCACGCCTGGTACCACGGCCGCATCCCCCGACAGGTACTGCCCTCCTCCCCGCCAGCACACACCCTGCTGTTCTCAGACAACGCCCAGATTGATGACCCTGCAGGGTCACACTCCAAGGCCACATAGGAGCCAGCCCTAGTTTAGCCAAAAACAATTACTATAAACTGGCCTGTGGTGATTTAACTTAGGCCCATCTCTAAGGAGACCTTGGGAAGAGCTGAGGTCAGGAATCTAAAGTACATTTCCACGTGCCCAGTAAGTGGATGAAGGAAAAGCAGGTGTTCCTGTGGTCGGCAAACACGGAGTGGGCAGGAGGCAGCAGCCACAGGGTGGTAACCTGAAGAAGTACTAGGTGGGGCTGTGGTTCAGATAATTGAACTCTTGGCTGGCTGCCTGCGGCCTCATGCCCTTTGGAACCTGCTTCCTTTTTAAGGCAGTGGCTTAATTTTTAATTTTTGAGGCACTGGCTTGTAGATGAAGAGAGGGTATCATTGCAGTGAGTGGTACAGAGCAACAAGGCCACCTGTGCCCCAGTGGGGCCAGCAATTATTCCCTCTCCATCCCTCCCTTACCCGGTCCCCTGGCTGGAGATGGGAATAAGAGGAATTACACCAGTGACTGCAGGCTCATGGCCTAGAATGTACTTTGTGATTGTCGTTTGGGTGATAACCATGAATAATGTTTTTTATTTAATAGTATAGAAGTTGAAAAATAAAATAAGTGCAAAATTGAAGTGTAGAATTCCCCTTGGGTTTTTATTGGAACCTGATCTGGCCAGTCATTCACCCAGGACATGACAGGAAGGGGGTGGGTTAGGTGGAGGGAAGGGCATCATGTTGTGAATTATTTGTTTTTTTTTTTGTGAGGAAGATGGGCCCTGAGCTAACATCTGCCAATCCTCCTCTTTTTGTTGCCGAGGAAGACTGGCCCTGGGCTAACATCCATGCCCATCTTCCTCTACTTTATATGTGGGACGCTGCCACTGCATGGCTTGACAAGCGGTACGTCGGCGCACACCCAGGATCCGAACCGGCGAACCCCAGGCCACCGCATCAGAGCGCGCGCATTTAACTGCTTGCGCCACTGAGCCGGCCCCTAAATTATTTTTTTAATGTAGCATATTTCTCAGCACTATCAACGAAATAATCCTTATTCTAACTCTTTTTCTAGTTTAAAATTGATTGTAGTGGGCTGGCCCCGTGGCTTAGCGGTTAAGTGCGCACGCTCTGCTACTGGCGGCCGAGGTTCAGATCCTGGGCGCGCACCGATGCACCGCTTGTCCGGCCTTGCTGAGGCCGCATCCCACATACGGCAAATAGAATGATGTGCAACTATGACATACAACTATCTACTGGGGCTTTGGGGGAAAAAAAAAAGGAGGATTGGCAATAGATGTTAGCTCAGAGCCGGTCTTCCTCAGCAAAAAAAAGAGGAGGATTAGCAATGGATGTTAGCTCAGGGCTGATCTTCCTCACAAAAAAAAAAAAAATTGATTGTAGAAAATACAGAGAGCAAAAAGAAGAAAATTAAACTCTCATCCATAATTTTCCCTCCTGGAGATAACCACTATGAACATTTTGATACAAATCCTCCCAGACTTTTTTAAATCGAGTATGAGATTATATGGAATATACCTTTTTGTAGCCCACTTTCTTCACTTAATGATATATCCTGAGAATTTTCTCCAGCTATAAAGTCTTTTTCCACACCATCCTACATTATATATATGTCCATTGTGTATCTGCTCCACAATTTTTTGGGACATTCTCACCAACATCCTTTAAGATAACCACTATGTTCATAACTATAATTATTTCCTCAGGCCCAATTCCAAGAAATGGAATTTCTGTGTGAAAAGATATTTTTAAGGAAAAGATGCAATTTTAAAGTAACCATGGTAGCATACTATTCTAAGCTAACTGATCAAATGTTGGAATGTCCTGGAAAAATTGTCAAAGTTTATAAAACTCATTCCTGTTACCACCATCCTTCCCTTATCGTGATCATAAAATTGGTTTCCCATTTGTCATGAGGTAAATTTTCAGCTGTACTTCATTCCAGATTGTCTGTCCGAACACTGTAACAATGACAATGATGGTAAGAGCCAACACTTGACTCCTTTACATCTTTATAGCTTTTCTATAGGTGATATTATTCCTGTTTTACAGTTGACATAACTGAGCCACAGAGAGATTACGTAACTTGTCCAAAGTCACACAGCAGAGCCAGAATGCAAACCTAGGCAGTGTGGCTACAGGAACGACTGCGCTACAACACACTATGAATTCTCCCTCTGCTATAAACATCAGCATCCTCATAGTTAATGATTTTTGAGTACCTACCTTGTTCCAGGCACTTACTAGTGCTTTGCATATAATATGTATACAAATAGACAATCCTTCCAATAACTCGGTGAGATGAGGGACCTAGGCCCGATTTTTGTTCCAGCCCCTCCAGTGAGTAATTGTTGTGCCAAGAACCCACAGTGAGTCTCTTATTTCCCTTGCCTCCACCTGCGTAAGGACCCCTCCTCGCCATTGAACAGGCCTGGAGAGGGACATCTTAGGAGAGGGGCGTCTCTGAGGATGACTCACAGACACCAACAAACACCCTCCTCCACGTGTTGGGGATGGGGATCAGACTGGCCAGACACGAATTCTCTTATTTTCTGTCGCTTTACATCCTTCAGGTCTGCCTTCATGTCATCTCATGACATCCTCCCGACCACCCTATTTAAAATGACAGCCCTCATCCCCTCCCTAGAATTTCTTGTCTCCCTTCCCGATTTACTTTTTCCTTAACTTGACATCTGACATACCATACCTGTTGCTTATTTATCCTCGCTAAAATAGAAACTTTCCACCAGAAATAGAAGCTCAGTGACAGTAGGGACTCTAGTCTGCTTCATTCACTGCTGTAAACCCAGTGTCTGCAATAGTCCTTGGCACATAGTAGATGGTCAGCAAATAGTTCTTAAATGAATGAATGGATCCTCTAAGAATCTTAAAAAATAAAGAGCCGACTGAGGAAGAAGAGACATAATTGCGTTGTCTTCTGTTGGCCCAAAGCAGCGGGGAGCAGTGCAGCTTTTAAAAGGAGTGTAAGCTTGCCTTTCTTACGCCTCACTCACTGTTTTGTCCCAAAGGTGGCAGAAAACCTCGTGCAGCGGGATGGCGACTTCCTGGTTCGTGACTCTCTGTCCAGCCCCGGAAACTTTGTCCTGACCTGTCAGTGGAAGAACCTCGCTCAGCACTTCAAGATCCAGCGGACGGTGCTGCGGCTCAGCGAGGCCTATAGCCGCGTGCAGTACCAATTTGAGATGGAGAGCTTCGACTCCATCCCCGGCCTGGTGCGCTGCTACGTGGGCAACCGCCGGCCCATCTCCCAGCAGAGCGGAGCCATCATCTTCCAGCCCATCAACAGGACAGTGCCCCTGCGGTGCCTGGAGGAGCGCTACGGCACCTCTCCAGGCCGGGCCCGGGAGGGCGGCCTCACTGAGGGAAGGCCCGACATGGCCAAGAGGCTGAGCCTCACCATGGGCAGCGTCCAGGCCCGAGAGCAGGGCTTGCCCAGGGGAAACCTCCTCAGGTGGGTCAGGGCCTCTTCAGGTGGTGTTGGGACCACAAGGGGCACTCCGGGCATGCCCAGGCTCAGTTAGGCAGACAAGGAGCTCACCCTGGAACAGAGGAACCATAAAAGATGTTTGTAAGAGTACCAAGGGTTGTTGGAAGAACAGTCACGAGGAAGCGCGTAATTAGTTCTCAACTGAATTGAGGCCAAAAATAAATGATGCAGTTGCTGAGGAAGGGGAGGGCTGACCAGGGGAGACTTGGTGAAGGAGCTGGGATTCCGGCCAGTCTGAGGGCTAGGGAAAATTTGGATAGATGCTGCAAAGAGGAGGGTGTTCCAGGGCTTGGGGGGTGGTGCTCAGTGTGAGCATAAGTGTAGAGACAGAAAAGGGCAAAGGTTGCTTGGAGTCAGCAAGTTGGTGGTGCTGGAGCAAGGGGTCCATGTAAGGGGCTGGCAGGCGTAGGTTTAGGGAGGTGACCCCACCAGATGTGGAGGCCTTCATGCCAGGCTAAGGGGTTTGAGGGAGCCTCAAAGACCTGACGTGGTGAACGGGGTGTCCTAAGAATAAAATGGGACAGCGATGCACAAGAGGGGCGAGGAGAGAGACGAGCAGGAAGCCCAGTCAGTGAGTCGTGGAGGGTCAGGCTATGTGGCCAGAGAAGAGGCAGAGTCAGGAGGTGGGGGAACCAGGCTCCCCAGGACTCTTCTGCATGTGGGGAAGGTGGAGAAGGGCCAGTCAGATACCACAGGAGGGACTGGGGGAGGTGGGTGGACTTTGGAGGAAAAACCAGTTGCACCATCTGAGATATGACCATCAGCTTGCTGAGAGCCAGTGTCCAGCAACAGGTTTGGGGTTCAGGAAGGGAGTTAGGCCTGAAGGCTTAGACAAGCCTTGGTCCACATGGAAAGGGTGGTTGACTCGGTGAGAACAGATGAGATTTCCTGAGACAGGAGACAGCAAGAGCCTGGGGGCTGCCGTCTGAACCTTGGGAAGGGGGAGAGAGTTCGGAGAACTGGCCGCCGAACTGAGGCACCCTGCCATCAACCAGTGAGGTGCCCTGTGTTTATACAGGACCTGCCCCTCGTGAGCTAAGAGTCCTGGTGCCTATCATCTAACCCGTGTCAGGAAAGGCAAGCAGGGAAGAGGCAGGCTTGCTAGGGCATAAGCCAGTCCCCAGCCCCGCTGTGACACAGCTCCTCTTCTCCGGCTCCCTGGTGGCTAAGCTTACACACTTAAACCAACATGTTTTATTCTACTCAGTGGTTTTCATTCTGGACCAGGAGGAAATGTCATAAACTGTAATTTCTAGACTGCAAAAATTCACAAGCAAAATACAGGACTCTGTGAGTAATAAATTATGGCCCTGTGCAACCAGGAAGCTCCGCTAGGTGTTAGTCATTGTCTGGCTGTGGACCCTGTGTGCCTGGGCTCAAATGCTGGTGTACCACTGACCTGGTCAACCCTGGGCAAGCTACTTACCCTCTCTGGGCCTCACTTGCTTCATCTGGAAAGAACAAGCTTATGAGGGTTAAATGATTTAAGATATGCAAAGTGCTTAGAACAGGCCGGCACATAGTAGGTAGATATTAATAACTATAATAATTATTATTTTCTGGAGGGCAGTAGAATTTCGGACTCAGGGCTGTTGCAGGGAGGAAGGCAAGAACTGATATTTAGAAATTCTCCTTTTCATAGTAATAAGATTGGACTTGAGATCCTTTAAAATATTAAAGTACCTTTTCTTCTGTTTCTTTTGGGAGTGGTGTTGGCTGCTCACCTGATGAACAGGGGAGGAGCCAGGCGTATTTGGCAATGCTGGGAACCCCTGCCAAGCATGGTGTGGGGAGGAGGGCCTCTTGGTCTGCCCTCAGCAACCCGGATTTAAAATATTTTTTTTTAAGATAAGAAGTGAAAGAAAGACTAAGCAAGTCTCTAAGTCAACGAGACAGGCCTCACAGAGGCACTCTTCGGATTGCCCTTTGAAAGCAGAGCTCCCTAAGCCTTGTCACCTCTTGGCACAGGCAGCAGGCCCAGAAATGTCTAAGCGTGGGGTGGGGCGGGCTACCCAGGAAAGATGGCCCGAAGCCCCGCCCCCGCCTGGCTCCGCATCTTCCTGCTGTGGGCCCGTTGGTTGGCTGGCTGGCTGCCGCGGGCAAAAGTGTGCGCTCCCAGCCAGGGTGCATTCCCGGGCGTTCTGGCCGCGGAGTCTGACCGCTCCGGTGATCACTGCCTAAGTATCGCTTCACAGAAGCCACTGCCTTTTGGAATTTGCCCTCTGCCCTGCCTTATCTCTGAGAGGTTGCTGGAATTTCTCTGTTGCTGGGAGTTTGGGGGTTTGGGGGTTTGTTTTTTTCTTTGGTGCTTGCAAAGGTAGGAAAGAACGTTGCGACTTCTGTCACAGAAGCTTGTGGGAGGGCTGATGAAAGTTCATTGCACCTTGGCTGGTGCAGTTCTTTCTCTTGTAGCAAAAGAGAGATTCTGCTCCTTGGTGCTAATTAGAGAAATTGCCGATCTGGGTTGGCAAGGGACAGAGGAATGCGAGCTAATGTGTCGAAAGTTGGGTTCCACCTTTTCCCTCTATGGCTGTACTGTGCCTCCCAGTTGCTGCTTGGTGACCGGGCTCGTCCCTTTTCCCAACTCAGCAGGAGCAGGCTGGCCACGGGGCCCCTCAGTGCATCCGGGAGGATGGGTTTGACAGCCTCCCCGGGCGATCCTATGGATTATTTGGGGGACGCGGAGATTTGCACTGAAGTGGAAACTGCCCCACAGCTTCCTTCCTAACTGTGACACAGTGGGGCATGGCGGAAACGCGTGTTAGGTAAACAAGTCATTCCTCCTGGGTCTGTAAGTAATTTTGGGCTTTGTTAAAAGTACACATTCCAGTTCATCAGATTTTCCTGAGAGTATCCTGAAACTTTTACCCTGTGCTGCTCAGCGGGATGGAAAGTCTCAGAGGAGGCATTGGAGGACCTAATTGGATTGGTCGTGGGCGTGCAGGGATGGAGCCCACGGCACATTCATGTATTAATCGCCCCCATCAGTAATTTCCTTCATCAGCAGACATTCCTTTACTGTTGGGGTGTGCTGTAGCTCTCATTCTGAATAATCTTTTTTTAAAAAAAAACTTTCCATGACGCTGCCTAAAGGTTTTGTGATTTAATGACACATTTCTGCCCCACTTGTCTTTTGCTTCAGAAATAAAGAGAAGAGTGGGAGCCAGCCAGCCTGCCTGGATCACATGCAGGACAGAAGAGCCTTGTCCCTCAAAGCCCACCAGTCGGAGAGTTACCTGCCCATTGGTAGGTCTTTGGGTGTTTGGGGCGAGGAGGGTGACTGTGTTCCCTGATTTCCTTCAGGCTGTTTTCCCTGCTCCATCTGGTCACTAATTTGGGAATAACATAAGGCTCCATGCCTGCAGGCTGGAGGCTGCGGGTTTGTAGAACCATATCCAGGTGTGAATCACTGAGCTGGACACTGTATGTTTACTAGCTCTTAAGCCTCATAACAAGCCTTCAAGATGGGCATGATTATCCTCTTTCCTCAGCCGAGGAAACTGAGGCAAGAGGTTAAGTGCCTTGTCCAAAATCATCCATCTGGTAAGCAGCTAAGCCAGCATTTGAACCCAGATTTTCTGATTCCAAGCCCATTGCTAACTGGTGGTCTTCATGATGAATGAGCCTGCTCCTTTAGTCCCCTCCCAGGGCAGAGGGTGGGTGGGTCAGTCCTGGGGCTCCTGGTAGAGCAGCTGTCCAGAAAGAGCCCTCTTCCTCGCTCTTCCTCTCTATCGCCTTTCAGCCAGAAGAGTGAGAAGATGTGGGATGTGGGGAAACTGAGTAAGCAATTATGTTAGTGGGCTGTGGGACTGTCTTTCATTATTTTTATGACTGACCTTCCTTGAGACCACAAGGTGACTTTTCTAATGTCCCTTCATAAACCACCTCTATGTGGGCTATGTCAGTGTCTTTTTATCCCTCCCCAGTGTGTCTCTAGTTCTGCCTTAAAGCTGGCGGGGATCCACCTGGCTCTGAGGGTGACTCAGGGCCCTGATGCTCTGTGGCTACAGACTTCTGTTCTTTAGGGTGAGATTAGATTACTCACTGCCCTCCAGGCTCGATGTATTTTCCTGTTCTGACTGTACTGACTTCTGTGACCATAAAATGACATTACAGCCCAGCTGTTAGCAGTCACTGGGATTTAGAATTCCTCCAGAAGTGAGGTGGGGCCAACTTAGAAATGCTTGAAATGCTCTAGACGGCTCTAGGTTGGGCGCCAGGTGGTCATACTGAGTTATCTTTTGAGAGAGAAAATCGAAACCCAAGGGCATGAATTGAGGACTGGGAGTTGTCACTCTAGTTTTATTTGTTTTGTATTCTCCGCACAGCTGAGCTTTTTCTGATCCTCTCTTGTCCTCCACAGGCTGTAAGCTGCCCCCTGGTGTGGACACAAGCCCCTGCCCAAACTCACCCGTCTTCAGGACGGGCAGCGAGCCCACCCTGAGCCCGGCGGTGGTTCGGAGGGTCTCTGCGGACTCGAGGGCGGGGGAGGCGCTGAGGGGCTCAGACAGCCAGCTGTGCCCCAAGCCACCCCCCAAGCCCTGCAAGGCGCCCTTCCTCAAGGTCCCCCCGTCCCCATCCACCTGGCTCAACTCCGAGGCCAACTACTGTGAACTGAACCCAGCCTTTGCCACGGGCTGTGACGGGGGAGCAAGGCCGCCCTTCTGTGCCCAGGACAGCTATGTGGAGCTGCTGACAGCCAAGCAGAACGGGGCACCGGGTCCCCGGAACTCTGGCACCAACTACTTGATCCTTGATGACGATGATGGGGCAAGGCCTCGGGAGCAGCCGGCAGCGCAGGTAGACAAGGGGCAGGAGGACAAGGGCAAGTTTGTAATGCCCCTCCTGGAGACCGCCTCCTCGTTCAGGCCCAATGACTTTGAGTCGAAGCTCCTTCCTCCTGAGAACAAGCCCCTGGAAACAGCAATGCTGAAGCGTGCAAAAGAGCTGTTCACCAACCGCGACCCCAAGGTCATCGCCCAGCACATGCTGAGCGTGGACTGCAAGGTAAGTGCCCAGGTGGGTGGGGTTTTGTTCTGGCTTTTGAAAGTTTGGAAGTGGGGCTCTGTCTGGGCCTCACTCTGCCTTACCCTTTAAGTGTTTTTACTCATAGGAAAGTCTAAAGATAACCTGGGTGTGGGGATTTATTTAAGGGGTGGGAACCACAGGCCGGGACAACTTATGCCCAGGCAGGAAGCTTGTAAAATTCATCTTGGACAGAGGGATGGCAGGCTGCTGCCCAGGGCCGTGCTCCCCGCACCCCTGCTGGTGTCTGCAGTTGCTGCAGAATCCTTCTCCCAGCTGGTGCTGATTTTTAAATTCTCCCCTGGCCTCAACTCCCTCAGAACTGGTAAAGTCAAGTCCAAAGGAGAGTAGATTGTCGATGAAAATGCCGTTTCCGGAAGTAGCAGCCACCTTGGTTATTTTTATTTCGTTATACATTATACATGTGCACATTAAATATTTATTTTATTGTTACTAAAATAGTCTTTAGGATAAACAAACATTTTTAAAGTTACCTTGATTTTTTGTATGAGTAATACTTGCTCGATTTTGAAAAATTATACAGATTAAGAGAAAAGAAAAAAATTAAAATCACACAAAGTCCAGTTTCCTGGTGATCACCATTCTTAACATTTTCTCTGCGAATAGATATGTGTAATAATTGCATACATGTGTGTTGGTTAGCCACAGAAATGGCGCGGGTCTATACATGCTACTCCAAACCCTGAGTCTTTCCTCGAACAACATATCATGGCTCTCTCTCCGTGTGACTAAATAAATATATGTTTACATCATCATCATTTTTAATAGGAAGCATTTCTTTTAGATATGGGTGGCTTTTGTTCATAGGTGGTCTCAGGGCAATGTTATCCTTCAAAGAGATATTTCTAGAAAACAAGTGTCTCAGGCTGGAGGGGGCTGAGCCCTCCTCTCAGTATAAAGAGACAGATCCCTGCATTGAGGACAGGTAAGGCCTTGGTGAGATTTGAAGTCTCTTTCCTTTGTAGCACTGTGTAGTCAATTAGCTGCTACACAGCTAATGTAGTCAATTAGCTAAATAACGTCAGGGCTTATTTAGAAACTGAATTTTCCTACATAAATTTCCTGGGTCATGAATCGTGACAGGAAGTCTAGTCTCTGAGCACTCGCCAGGGAGATCCCGGTTGATTGAGGCTCACGGGACAGGAGGCCGCCCACAACAGGGGAACATTAACTAGGTGCTGGCTGTTCTGGGGTAAAGAAATCCTTTCCTGAAAACAGGACTAGGGATAACTCAGTACCTCGTCACCAGGCCTGGGAGGTGGTCCGTGTGAGTGTGAGTGTGTGTGTGTGTGTGTGTGTGTGTGTGTGTGTGTGTTGGGGGTGCCACACCCTTGCCCAGCAGGCCGGAGAACAGAGCCAGGAAAGGGCTGTGTTGGGAGAAGATGGGCGTGTTCACTGGTTGGCCGTGTGCCCTTGGGCAGTGCTCACAAGTGGTTGGATAATTTGCTGTGTTAAATCCTCACCTCATTTTAGTGTTAAATCCTCACCTCATTTTAAAGCGAGCTAAACCCGTTTGGGCAGAAAGAGGATTTAGGATTCCTGTTCTAGTAAGTACCTCATACTGGGCCCTGGATCTGAGAGCAGAACTGAGCCAGCAGGCCAGGAGCCTGGCATGAACCTGTTTGGGATCTCCATGGAGAAAGCTCCTTATGCAAACATGGGTCTGGGTGTACAGAACAGCCTGATTCCCAGGAGGAAATGATTCCTTCTTCCTTGTGGCCTCAGGCAGGGCTTGTGGTAGTCTAGGAGGAGGTGAGATGCCTGAACACTCTTTGCAGGAGGGTCTGGAGCCTTCCCACCGCCTTGGCAGCCATAAAACTAGAGCCCAAGTCTGTTCTCAACTGAAGGAACATGTACCCTGCCCTTTCTTGTTCTGTTTCTCTCTTCTCCTGGTGGGGCCCCACTCCTGTCTGCCCTGCAGGCACCCCTGGAAGAGGGGCTGGATAGAGCCCCCAGGCAGTGAGGCAGAGAGCAGAGCGGGAGCCCCCTGACTCTGCCCGCCCCCAGCTCCCAAGGGCAAGGCTGCTTAGTCTTCCATCCACCGTCCTCCCTCCTGAGTCCAAGGCCGTTTCCTTATTCTCTTCCTGGAGCCACTCTCTTCAAGACTTTGCCAACAAAGCAGGTACAACCTGCATCTCTAAAAGGGAAGTAAAAAAGGGCTGTTGTTACCCACTCCAAATGCAGCAGTAGCCAGACGGGCCACCCGGAAGCCGGAGACCGCACCGGGCAGCATCTGGGGCCCAAGTGCTGGTTCCCACCCCACGCACAGAGCCCAGGGCTGGCGCCCTAAAAGCCATCAGGACAATGGGTGGTCCTGAGCACCTCAAGGCTGCCTGCCAGCAGTGTCCGGCCCCTCCTGGGGCTGAGGCCGGGGTAGGCATCCACAGAGCCCCTCTCACCCTGCTGTGGGCACGCCCTGGCCTCACTCACAACCCACTCGTCTTTCCAGTAGCAAGAAGCGAGGCCCGGGAGTTAAGAGCTTAGCCTCTGAGGATGAGCTGCCTGAGTCTAATCCAGCCTTTCCCCCCTATAAAAGGAGAACAATACCAACTACCCAGGTGGTTGTGAGGACCAAATGGGATAACACATGTAAAGCCTCCGCACCATGCCTGGCCCAGAGTGAGGCTGAGTGTTTATTGTGTTACGTATTCAGTCTTGATGGAGCACCTACTGTGGGCCAGGCAGAGAGGGACAGTGATGGAGGAATTCAGACCACAACCCAGGCTTGAAATGCTCTGCAGGGGAAGCCACAGGAGCTGTGGGGCCTCTGAGGCAGTCTTGAATATGGGGGAGGGAGGGGATCAGGGTGGGGTTGTCTGAGATGAGTTTAAAAGGCTGAATAGGAGTTGGCCAGATGAAGAACACCAAAAGCATCTTCCAGACAGCAGACAACACATATGCAGAGACTGGGATGTCAAAAACCATGAGGGGAGGGGTTGGTTTACAGAGGATTCACTCTGTGTGGGCAGTGAGGTGGGGATAGGAGTGGGATGGGGGAGGGCCTGGTGTATTTCCTTTTTTTTTTTTTGTGAGGAGATCAGCCCTATGCTAACATCTGCCAATCCTCCTCTTTTTTTTTTTCCGAGGAAGACTGGCCCTGGGCTAACATCCGTGCCCATCTTCCTCCACTTTATATGGGAGGCCGCCGCAGCATGGCTTGCCAAGCAGTGCGTTGGTGCGCGCCCGGGATCTGAACCTGCAAACCCCGGGCCACCGCTGCGGAGCGCGCGCACTTAACCGCTTGTGCCACCACCGGGCCAGCCCCTGGCGTATTTCCTTTGATGTTCTTAAGTCTCTACTTCTGGGCTCCTGTCAGGTTGCTGCCTCCAAAGCACTTGGCCATCCAGTGAGGGAGACAGGCCCATAAGTGCATAGTACAGATTACAGTCCTCTGCTGAGGGCAACAGAGACGGTGAGAGGAGCCAGAGGATCTCATTGCAGTTTAGAAGGTCCCTGGGCAGCTGGGAGGAGGGCCAGGTGAGGCAGTGGGATAAGGAGCGAGCGGAGTCCTGAGGTCCTACAGAGCTAGGATAGTGAAGATCAGAAGAGCAGAGGGAGGCTGGAACACTCCTCATGGGACACTGATGTCGCCCTGCCCTGTGAGTCCAGCTCACAGTAAATGCTCCAGAAGTGTTCACCCCTCCTCTGCTCTGTGGGCTGCACGGCCCTGAGCACTTCCCAGGGGACCTACAAGGCGAGCTCAGGACTTCCTTGCCCCATTGCTCAGCCGTGGAGCGAGCAGGTAGAGATGCTTCCTGGTAAAACCTCAGGGAAGTGACCAGGGAATTGCATTGTTTACATGCAGGAAAACAGCATTTTTTAAAACTTTTCCTCACTGAAGGAAAACAGACTGGAGGCTTCTCTCGGGGCAGGTTTCACTCTAGATGCTAGTGCTTCCAGAACAAAACTGAATCAGTTACAAGCTGTTGAATCTCGTTGCACAGAGTGTGCGTGGATCTGGAGGGCACCTCCACAGAGGTTCTGGGTGTGGAGCCTCTGACAGGGCAGCTGTCCAAACAAGCAAGCCAAGTGTGTGTGACCACAGGTGTCTGGGGTGTGCACCTGGGGTGCCTTGCCATGGTCAAGGTGTAAATCTCTTTCCAGAGACTGGGCCAGAATTCTTCCCCCTTCCACATGGCCTATGATTCACAACTTGTATTTTCGAATAGCTTTTTGGAGTTCTAAGGTCATTTGATCCTTTGGAAAGTGCCTGAGAAAGGTGAACGTAGCAGTTGTGTTAGAGAAGGGGAAACTGAGGCCCAGAGAGCACAGTATGAATTCTGCATTCTGTTCTGGAGTCTGCCGCTTGAGAGCTAATTCCCCCAGGCTCATTTCCCCAGGGCTGATAGTGGTTCCTTTGCTCAGCCACAGAAGTTAAGGGTCAGGGTTAAAAACATCAGCTAAACTTCCAGATGTTTTTTGTGGCCTATTATGAAGACATCTGGACTATTCGTTTGCCCAGGATAATTATAGTCGAGGACAGCCCCACCAGATGGAGGAGAGGAAATGTCCAGTGCCTGCCATGTGTCCAGGGTTGGGTAGACCCCTCGTATCTGCTGGTTGTTCTGTTAGTACATCAGTGCTCTGTGAGGCGCCATTAGCCCCATGTTAGAGACCCACTGACTCAGTTGTAACATTTCGAGGTAACATGGAATAATGATAAATGGTCAACTAAAATCTGGTTCCGGTAAACTATGATTACACGCTAGAACTGAGATGGGGAGAGCTGGCTGGGACAAACAAACAAGGGTTTCCTTTAAGGAAAACCTCTCGGGGGGGAAGTGGGTGTGTTTGAGACTTCGAGTTTCAAATTGCCATACACATTTCTAATAGTTTCCAGACGTATGGCGCATTTACTGAGCCCAGGAGAGGCGTAATTAAGGGTAATAGCAGCCAGCCCTACCATTAAGTGAGAACAGGAACGGCGAAGCCTGCAGCAGAGGGGCACTTGGACAAGATCCTGCTTTTCCACTGCAGGGGATCAGTCGGCTCCGCACACACGCAGCCCTGCTGTTGGCAGCAAAACGTCGCAGCAGGATCCAGCCTGTGTTAGACAAAAGCTCAGAGAACTACACTGTTCTCTGGCTAGGCAGAAACACCACATCTGCAGAGTCTGCAGACCAATTTAGGTGCTTTCCACCCAGGTTTTATATTCCAGTATGTGTATTAAAATCCTCCAAATATCATATAAAAACTGTATTTTCAGATGCCGCTGCTCAAAAAAGAAGTCCAACAAGTAAAGTGCATCCACATGGTCCCAGTTCAGTGTATTTCTTTTCTTGTGCTAAATTTGTGTTCACAGCAAGCCCACTTTCTGATCCAGTATATTTCAACTTGTGTTCTTGACAGGTCACTAGGATACTCGAAGTCTCTGAAGAGATGAGGAAGAACATGGGCGTGAGCTCGGGGCTGGAGCTCATTACCTTGCCTTATGGTCACCAGCTGCGCCTGGACATAATTGAAAGGTAAGCAGTGCTGTGCTCTGCATTTCCGGCCCTTGCAACTCCTCACAGGCCGTCAGAGCAGCAGGTTTCAGAGCAGAGAAAGGCGCAGCACCGACCTGCCCCAGAGCCGCCTCACTCAGGCCTGTAAGCCCCAGCTGACTTATCCCAGAAGCCTTAGCCAGAGAATTCCTGGAGGTGCACAAAGAGACAGCACAGAGAAATCAGGGAAGAAAGAACACGTTCCTGTCCCTGCTCCAGCAAGGGGTGGAGGAGAGAACAGACGATTGGCCTGTGCGAGCAGAAGTCACCACTCTTGCCTGCCCGTGCCGGAGCTGGGGTGCTGCGAGCGGGCGGTACACTCCGACATCTTGCCACCTAGAGCCCCGCCTCACTGAGCTGCAGCTCCTTGGCCTCCAGATCGCTTTAGGAATTAAGTGGAAGTTTGTGGGAAAGGTTGGGAAGAAGAGAGTCTGAATAGTGTTTTCTTTGAGGGGTGGACAAATGGGGGTCAGAGGACAGGGGATGACAGCACTCGTGCCCCCGCCGTGCCCCTCTGAAGCATTATTGCCCTCTTCTCATGCAAAGCTGGGTCCCTGGCTGTCCACTAAAACCCACACGTGTGAACACTGGCCGTTTAGACATTAGAAAGACAGAAATAGGCATGTTTTTAAGGAAAGAAGCACTAGACTGGATTCTCATATTACCATAGAAGTTGGCCTTTTTGATACACACAAAAAGACAGTTGGTTTTGGAAAGACCATCTTGATATCTTAGGTTTTCTGTTTCTCCAACCAATTTCCCAGTTGCCGTGACACATGTGGGTTTTAATGGACAGCCTGAGCCCTGGCTTTGTGTGAAAAGAGGGCAGTGATGCTTCAGAGGCCAGGGGGCCGATGGCTTTCCACGATGTCCTAGGTCACAGTGCTGTCCAGTACAACTTCTGTGATGGCGGGGATGTTCCCATCTCTTTACCGTAGCCACTAGCCACACATAGCTATTGAGCTCCTGAAATATGGCGACTGAGGGACGAAATGTTTTATTTTCCTGTTTACTAGTTTAAGTGTGAATAGCCACTTGTGAAGTGGACAGTGCAGTCCTAGGGTGTCAGCCCCTAGAAAGTAAACCGTGCGTTTCAGGCAGCCTGGGGGATCGATACAGCTGCTGCTTTCAAGGTTCCCTGGCTAGAAAGCAGATAAAGTGGCTCCAATGGCCCTGTTGCTCTGGCTCCACAGCCGCAGACCACCCCATAGAAAACGCCTAGAGTGCTGAATGGAGACTTCTGGGAGGCAGGAGGTTAGGAACTGGCCCGTGCTGACTTCGTTCAGGCATCCTTGTTGTTTAATACCTTTGGGGAATTGTAGGATGACTTCTGAATCTTCCTACTTTTCCTGATCAGACTCTTCTAGATTCCAGCCTCTCTCCAGGCATCCTCTTCCGGCCCCATGCTCTGGGGTCCCGGCTTCTCAGTTCCACTGACTTGTCCTCTGTCGTCTGGGCCCAGTGGTCACTGCTTCAGCAGAGATGAGCTGGGCCGCTGCCTTTCCCCATTTCTCATGTGATACGTTTCAGCCTGAAAACTTCCCAGGTTCCAGACCATATTTTATCAGTGTTGTTAGGTGTGTGGACTTATGTTCTGGGCGCAGGCTGAGGTTGGCAGGCTGGGAGCTTCTAGCTAGGCTGTTTTCTGACTTCCACTCCATCTACATCCGTTTCCTCTTTCTTCTGATTGCCGCTTGCCTGGGTCTCACTCCTTGGCTTGTTTCCTGTCCAGGGCAGACCTGTGGGATCTGCCTGCTAGAGCCTGGGGAGCAGTTGTCTTCAATGTGTTTGCTAAATAAAGGCCAGGGTTACAGCAGGCTTGAAGGGTCAGATGACATCATCTCCTTGTATTTGAGAACCAAGTACAAAACCACCCTTTATTTTTAACTTACCACTCACCCATTCCAGGCCTACTGAGTGGCGCTGTCCTTCAGGTAACCTTTAGTGCCTCCCTGCTGACCCTGGAGCTCCTGCTACAGACCTGCCTGCTGGGTTGTTTCCCGTAGTGGTGTATGCAGGAGGTCTGAGGCAAATGTTGGTTGAATGAATGGATACAATTACCCAATTAACCGTTGATATAACGCCAGGTCTTAAAGGAGTCAAGAACCTGTCTTTTATTAAGAGCCATTAAAACATAGGAAAAAAACACGGAATAAAGAATAGATTGAATGCAACGTGGGAAGTTAGTTTACTATAGTTAAAAGAAACATCTAAAATGTTCAGTTCAGCCTTAACACTTTGCAAATGGGTAAAAAACTCTTTGATAAATACAACAGATAATAAAAATATAGTTTATGCTAGGATCCATTAATTAAGAAAGACAAGAAATCAAGAAAAGAGAGACAAACAGGCGAAATGGACCCAGAACAGAGGGAGAGATGTGCACAATGAGACAATTATAGTGACAACCTCTGTTTGCTAGGTGCCTGCCAGTGATGGGCACTAATTATTTTTACACCCACACACGGTCTCTATTTCTCACAACAACGCTTGTTCCCATTTTACAGATGAAGAAATCGAGGAGTGGAGCAGTCAGGTTACAGCCTAAGGTCCCACTGGGAGTAAGCACCATACGTACATATATGTACAAACACAGAGACGGCAGAGCTCATAACTTATTTAACAAACACTGGAGAAACTAGTAATGCCAGGCTCTAGATGAATCATGCCACCCTTGGTCAAGGAGAGCGAGAGAGAGACCAGCACACGTGGGCACAGAGAGAAGCAGCTAAGGAGTGACATCCTTAGCCGTGAACTTTCAGGACAAGGTGGCCCCAGTGTTTGAAAGGAGTGTTGTATTTTAGAAGCACAGCTGTGAATCGGGGCTTCACCTCCAGCACTTGTACCACAGCCTGGAAGAAATGTAATTGAGGCCATTCTGGCCCCATGCAGTCCACTCCCTGGCCCTGGTTTAGAGGGAAGGAGAGGGATTGCAGTCTGTGCTGCCTGCTACCAAGAAGGAGCCGCTCTGTGACCCCATTCATATTAGTCCCATTGTCATGTAGAGAAAAGATCACTCTGCTTCCTGTTCTGGGTCGGTGAGGTTGACCCGTGTAGTTCAGGATGAGAAAAGGGAGGATTGTTGGCAGATACAAGATTTCAATTTTGCTAGGGTCTGACCTTACAGGGAAGTTCCTGCTGGTCAGCTATTCAGTCTTTGTCCACATCACTGTTCACTTTCTGGCCTCTTGACCAGAGCCGTGGACACTCCATTCTTAGCTCATTCTTTCCTTTGTTCCGACACCCATATCATCTTCCTGGATCAGCATATTCTCTCATTTTTCTGTCCCTTCCATTCTGCAATCCTGGGGGCTCAGTGGAGGTGGCCCAGGGCTTCCTCAAGGAAGAGATCCCCCAGTGTGTTGGGGGACCTGGTGTCTCCTTGGACTTCTCATGGTGGCAGGTACAAGGAGCCACGCGCACTTCTGAGCAGGTTTGCCCAGGAGAGCCCTCTTCATGCCTCCGGGGCCAGGGCTGAACATGGCCCTGTTCTGGGGCTCCTGTCCTTTTTGACTCTGCATAGTGCATCCTCTGAGCCTCGCTCAGTCAGCCTGGTGGTCTCTCTCTTGAAATCGGCAACCACACCGTCTGAGCTGCCAGCACATCCCAGAGCAATAGCAGCAAATGGTGCAAAGCTAGTCCTTTTCCCGGCCGGTTTGGTTTCATTTCCTCCTAGTCCTGTTGGCCCTGGGCCTGATCACTGATCTCTTCCTTCTCAGACACAACACGATGGCCATCGGCATTGCAGTGGACATTCTGGGCTGCACGGGCACTTTGGAGGACCGAGCAGCCACCCTCAATAGGATTATCCAGGTGGCGGTGGAGCTGAAAGACTCCATGGGGGACCTCTATTCTTTCTCGGCCGTCATGAAAGCCCTGGAAATGCCGCAGGTAAATTTCCACTTGCTTTGTGCGGCCCTGCGGGCCTGTGTGTACTTAGTGTTCTGCAGAGTGGTCTGCAAACTTATGCTAGCAAATCATAGTCTCTTTTAGTCAATCTCGAAAGGTAAATTGAATCTTAGTGGAAGCTGCTTTGATTAGGGGGCGACCAAGAGCAGCATCCTCAGTATTTTGGCTCTGTTTTTAAAAACAGCGGATAATTGCTGACAGCTCACACTCTTCTCTTTGATGTACAAGAAGAGTCGTCCTCAAGAACAGTCGATGTTCCTGAAGAACCAATTAGGATAATACCTCTGGCTCAAGCGTGCTGCATAAGAAAGAGACTGCTTCTGTCTGGGTCACTGGGCATGCGGGCAGTTTGGGGTCCTGACTGGGAAACTGAGACATTTGGGGAGCTTATATCTGAGAATCCCTGGAGTGGTTTATCTCAAAGTATGCTCCTCAGGTCACCTCAAACAGACTCTCCTGTTAAAAAATTCAGATTCCTGGCCCATCTGCCCTATAGCCCCCTAATGAGAGTTTCTGAAATTGGGCACTTTGAATTTATCTTCTTTAACAGGCTGTTTTTAGGATGAGTGTCAAAACTGAAAACCTGTATTTAAAATCAAATGGACCTCATGGAGGAAAGTGGTCCTATTGTCTTGATTGCTCAGAGTTGGCTTTCCCCTTTCTGTCCTGCCACACCCTAGGTGCTTGGAGGACTTTGAATACAAGATGACAGTCCGGCAAACCCAGTCTGCAACCTGTAACACCAAAACCGCTGGTCATTCAGCTTGGCTGTTTCATAGCCACAGATTGTCTCTGAAATCCTGCTGGGTACTCACTGAAAACCCAACACTGCCACTGGGGAAGACGGCTACAGTCACGTGTCCTGCAAGTCAGGGCGTGTTAGGGACATAATTTCCTCGCATTAAAGCAAGGTCACCTTAAAAACAAGAAGCTGAACAACTCAATGCCTTCACTAGGAAATTTGAGGGGGGTCAATTCCAATTATAATATAATATTCCTAGAGCTTTCAAAACTCTTTAGATGCACTGGAATTTTGTAGGGTCGATATTTGAAATAAGCAAATTCATCCATATTTTAATGATATACTGTGTTTTATTAATAACAGGGGTTGTAATTTTTCATTCAGATGTCTTTAATTTGCATCACATTTATTTCCTCTTATCCAAAACTGCCTATAATTTTGGGGGCTGAGCCAACAGGCTGTGCATATACCCCTCCAGCCCAAAGCTTCCTCTGAGAATAGTAAAGGGGATGTTTTGTGGCATTATGTGGTTGCCGTTCATGACATCAAACTCAGAGGTTAGGGACTTATCCTAAAGCACCTGAATGTGCCTTTGTAGGTGGCTCCCTCCCCTCCAGCAGCGTCAGACTCTTCCCTCCTGGCACCTCAGCAATGAGGGGACATAGTCCTCCAGGGTATTTAGGGCCCTGGGGTGGGAAGTGGCAGACCCACGGAAAACCTGAGAATCACATCATTTCTGTGTGCCATCCACACTTGCCCCTATACTACCGCCGCGTGTGCCGCCTTCTCTTCTCAGCTTCTAGTATCAAGAGGGAGCATCCAGGAGATGGGCCTAGCCTGGCTGAGAGACAAGGGCTTCTTTCAGAAAGGCCGATGTGTCGGGGAGGGAGAAGAGAAGAAGAGGACTGTGAGAAGAGAGGGCAGCGTGGTGGGTGGCCAGAGGAAGATCAGCCCACATCCTTCCCTTCCCAGCAAATCTGCTGGTGCCGATCCCTTCTCACCTTCCTCTTAGAGGCCAAGGAAATGAATCTCAGCTCTGCCATTTACCAGCTGTGAAACCTTGAGCAAGTTACCTAATCTCTTCTGTTTTTTGATCTGTAAAACAAGGGCAAAATACCTGCCTCATAGAGCATTGTGAAGATTAAATGAAATTCCTCAAATCACTGACACAGCGCTGGTTCTCATTTGCTGAATATTAGTGCCCTTCCTTGCTTCCACGTTTCATGTAGAAAACTTCCGACTCAGGCTTGCTGGTTGTATGGTGTGAGTGGGGGACCATTTATCTTAGGATGTCAGAGTCAGTGGCATATGTTGATGTTGACTAAATTGTTCCAAAAGAAATTAAAAGGAATGAGTAGTGGCATCATGTGGTCTGGGCAATCTTCTACGTGTCTCAGACCTTATTACTTACGAGTAACATTAAAATGCTGTACATTACATTCCTATATCCTGACATCAGTATAACCTCTATGGACAGTTGGCAACTCCTATCAGAATTTAAAATACATGTATTCTTTGACACAGTAATTTCACTTCTGGAAATTTATCCTCCAGATATTTTCACACATGTACACATTTATAAAATATTAGGTAATTTTGTAATAGAAATATATTTTTAAAAATCTTATCTAGAGGAGACTAAACTATGGTTTATCCATAAAGTGGAACATTATGCAGAAGTTTAACAAAATAAGTCTGTTCTATGCTGTTTTATATGTAGCTATATGGAATGACTTCCAAGCAAGGAACAGAAAAATATGTAGTATGATACGCATTTACTTTAAAAGATGTGTGTGTATGTCTGTGTATAGACCCACACATACATAACAAGAAATTGATGAGAGGAGTGGTTTCTGGGATGAGCCATTAGAGCAATGCAGAATGGGGTGGGGGTGGGGAATTAGCTTTCCTCTGTGCTCTCCTTTCAACTGCTTTGACTTTTTTTTATCATGTGCATCTATCACCTATTCCAAAACTTAAGCAAAAAGGTAATTGAAAAAAGAGCCTTTTCCAAAATGATAACACCTTTCTTGCTTCCAGATCACAAGGTTAGAAAAAACGTGGACTGCCCTGCGGCACCAGTACACCCAAACTGCCATCCTCTATGAGAAACAGCTGAAGCCTTTCAGCAAAATCTTGCACGAAGGCAGAGGTGAGCACAGGGTCAGCGGAAGCGGGCCTGGTGGCTGCCCTGAATGTTAGGTTGTATCTGTTCTGGTTGGATCAAAGCATTGAGCAGGGCGTGTTATGAGGCCCCTAGCTAACTGCAGGATTGTTGATGAGTCATCAGGCTTTTATCAGATGACAATATCGCTTGTAGAAGGTCTGCAGTTACTGAAACAAGACACGGGCTACCAGTGACCTTTCTGTGCTTAACTTTTTTTTTTTTAATTATTTGTTTTATTGAGGTATAATGACATAACATTAGTTTCAGATGTGCAACATAAATTGTAAATGAGGTTGTTTTCTTAATTTCTCTTTCTGATAGTTCATTATTAGTGTATTAAAACACAAAAGATTTTTGTATATTGATTTTGTATTCTGCAACTTTACTGAATTTATTAGTTCTAACATTTTTTTGGTGGAATCTTTAGGGTTTTCAAGTATAAGGTCATGTCATCTGCAAATAGTGACAGTTTTACTTCTTCCTTTCCAATTTGGATATCTTTTATTTCTTTTCCTTCCTAATTGCTCTGGCTAGGACTTCCAATACTAGGTTGAATAAAAGTGGCAAGAGTGCACATCCTTATCTTCTTCCTGATCATAGAGGAAAAACTTTCCAGCTTTTCACCATTGAGTATAATGTTAGCTGTGCGTTTGTCATATATGACCTTTATTATGTTGACGTTCATTCCCTCTATACCCACTTTGTTGAGAGTTTTTTATCATAAATGGATGTTGAATTTTGTCAAATGATGTTTTTCCGTCTATTGAGATGATCATATGATTTTTATCCTTAACTTTGTTAATGTGGTGTATCACATTGATTGATTTGTGGATGTTGAACCATCCTTGCATCCCTGGAATTAATCCCACTTGATCATGGTATATCGTCCTTTTAATATATTGTTGAATTTGGTTTGTTAATATTTTGTTGAGGATTTTTGCATTTATTAGGGATATTGGCCTGTAATTTTCTTGTGGCATCTCTGTCTGGTTTTGGTATTAGGGTAATGCTGGCCTCATAAAATGAGTTTGGAAGTGTTCCCTCCACTTGTATTTTTTGGAAAAGTTTGAGAAGGATTGGTATTAATTCTTCTTTGAATGTTTGGTAGAATTCACCAGTGAAACCATGTGGTCCTGGACTTTTGTTTGTTGGGAGGTTTTTGATTACTGATTCAATCTCCTCACTAGTAGTTTGTTCAGATTTTCTGTTTCATCATGATTCAGTCTTGGTAGGTTGTAAGTTTCTAGGAATTTATCTATTTCTTCTAGGTTGTCAATTTATTGGTATATAATTGTTCATAGTAGTTTCTTATTATCCTTTGTATTTCTGTGGTATCAGTTGTAATGTCTCTTCTTTCATTTCTGATTTTATTTATTTGTGTCCTCTCTCTTTTTTCTTGGTGAGTCTGGCTAAAGCTTTGTCGATTTTGTTTATCTTTTCTAAGAACCAGCCCTTAGTTTCATTGATCTTTTCTATTGTCTCTTTAGTCTCTATTTCCACTCTGATCTTTGTTATTTCTTTCCTTCTATTAAATTTGGACTTTGTTTTTTCTTCTTTTTCTAGTTCCTTGAGGTGCAAAGTTAAGTTGTTTATTTGAGAGTTTTCTTGTTTATTGATATAGTCATTTATTGCTGTGAATGTCCCTCTTAGAACTGCTTTTGCTGCATCCCATAAGTTTTGGTATGTTGTAGTTCCATTTTCATTTGTCTCAAGGTATTTTTTTTTTTTTAATGTTAGTGTTGTCTTTAGAGCTTTTTATTTATTTATTTTTTTGTGAGGAATATTAGCCCTGAGCTAACATCCATGCCAATCCTCCTCTTTCTGCTGAGGAAGACCAGCCCTGAGGTAACATCTATTGCCAATCCTCCTCCTTTTTTTCCCCTTTTCTCCCCAAAGCCCCAGTAGATAGTTGTACGTCATAGTTGCACATCCCTCTAGTTGCTGTATGTGGGACGCCGCCTCAGCATGGCCAGACAAGCGGTGCGTCGGTGCACACCAGGATCCGAACCTGGGCCACCAGTAGCAGAGCATGCGCACTTAACCGCTAAGCCATGGGGCCAGCCCCGTCAAGGTATTTTTTGACTTGTCTTTGACTTATTGGTTGTTCAGTAGCATGTTGTTTAATTTCCACATATTTGTGAATTTTCCAGTTTTCTTCTTGTAATTGATTTCTAGTTTCATACCATTGTGGTCAGAGAAAATACTTAATATTTCAATCCTCTTAAATTTATTAAGACTTGTTTTATGGCCTAACATATTCTCTATCCTGGAGAAACTTCCATATGTACTTGAGAAAATGTGTATTCTGTTGCTTTTGGATGTTCTGATGCTTTTAATGTTCTGTATATATCTGTTAAGTCCATCTGGTCTATAGTGTCATTTAAGGCTGATGTTTCCTTATTGTTTTCCTGTCTGGAATATCTATCCGTTGATGTAAGTGGGTTATTAAAGTCCACTACTATTATTGTATTGCTGTTTATTTCTCCTTTTAGGTCTGTTAATATTTCCTTCCTATATTTAGGTGCTCCTATGTTGGGTACATAAATATTTACAAATGTTATATCCTCTTGTTGGATTGACCCCTTTATCATTATGTAATGCTCTTCTTTATCTCTTATTACAGTCTTTGTTTTAAAGTTTATTTTGCCTGATATAAGTATAGCTACCCCAGCTTTCTTTTGGTTTCCATTTGCATGGAATATCTTTTTCCATCCCTTCACTTTCAGTCTGTGTGTGTCCTTACATCTGAAGTGAGTCTCTTGTAGGCAGCATATAGATGGGTCTTGTTTTTTAATCCATTCAGCCACTCTGTGTCTTTTGATTGGAGAATATAGTCCATTTACATTTAATGTAATTATTCATAGGTATGTACTTATTGCCATTTTGTTAATTGTTTTCTGGCTGTTTTGTAGTTCCTCTCTGTTCCTTTCTTTTTCTCTTGCTCTCTTCCTTTGTGGTCTGAAAATTTTCTTTAGTGGTATGCTTCGATTCCTTTCTCTTTATCTTTTGTGTATCTACTATAGGTTTTTGCTTTGTGGTTACCATGAGGCTTACATGTAACACTTTATATTTATAACAGTCTATTTTAAATTGATACCAACTTAAATTTGAATGCATTCTAAAGCTCTACATTTTTTACTCTCCCCCCTCACATTTATTGTTTTTGATATCACATTTTACATCTTTTTATCTTGTGTATCCCTTAAGTAATTATTGTAGTTATAGTTATTTTTACTGCTTTTTTCTTTTAATCTTCATTCTAGCTTTGTAAGTGATTAATCCACTACCTTTACTATATATTTACTTTTACCAGTGAGATTTATACTTTTATTATATATTTTCTTGTTACTAATTAGTGCTATTTCTTTTTAGCTTAAAGAAGTCCCTTTAACATTTCTTTTAAGTCTAGTTATTGGTGATTCACTTCTTTAGCTTTTGTTTATCTGGAAAATCCTCAATTCTGAATGATAACTTTGCCGGATAGGATATTCTTGGTTGGAAATTCTTTTCTATTAGCACTTGGAATATATAGTGCCTCTCCCTTCTCCTTTCTCATCTGCAAAGTTTCTGTTGAAAAATCTGCTAATAGTCTTATGGGGCTTCTCTTGTACATTACAAGTTGTTTTTCTCTTGCTGCTTTTAAGATTCTCTCCTTGTCCTTAACTTTTGACATTTCAATTGTAACATTTCTTGGTGTGAGTCTCCCTGGGGCTCATCTTGTATGGAACTCTCTGGGCTTCCTGTTTCCTTCAACAAGTTAGGGAAGTTTTTGCCATGATTTCTTCAAATAGGTTTTCTGCCCCTTTCTCTTTCTCTTCTTCTTCTGGGACCCCTATAATGCGAATGTTAGTCTGCGTGATGTCCCATAAGTCCCTTAAACTATCTTCACTTTTTTTCATTCTTTTTTCTTTTTGCTGCTCTGATTGGGTGAGTTCCACTGCCGTGTCCTTGAGTTCACTGATTCTTCTGCTTCATCTAGTCTGCTCTTGAACCCCTCTAGGGTATTTTTCAGTTTAATTATTGTATTCTTCAGCTCTGTGACTTCTACTTGGTACTTTCTTATATTTTCTATCTTTTTGTTCAAGTTCTCATGGTGCTCATCCATTCTTCCTCTGAGTTTGGTGAGCATCTTTGTGACCACTATTTTGAACTCTTTATTAGGTAAACTACTTATCTCTCTTTCATTAAGGTTTTTTTCTAACATTCTATCTTGTTCTTTTGTTTGAAACATATCCCTTTGTTTCTTCATTTTGCTTGGCTCTCTGTGTTTGTTTTCTCTGCATTATATGAAACAGCCACCTCTCCCAGTCTTGAAGGAGTGTAGGAGATGAACCTTATCGTTCAACCCTGCCCTAGCTCTTGGTCGTCTCTCAAACCTTTGTGATTATCAAACCAGCCTATTTTGTTTTTAATGACTCGTAGTAGTTGAGGGTGTGCCAAGACCTGTCAGTGTCCCAAAGGGGAGGATCTCAGTCAGCACCTAGATTCAGCCTAATTTGAAGCCAGACCCTTAGGCAGCAGCTTTTTAAAGTGTGAAAATATATGCAGTCCTGTGGGATCACAAGCATAAGCCCCACTGGCCACCAGAGCCAGACGATCTGGAGTTGCAAAAACAGAGGCTCCACATGAGTGTGTAGCTCCTTTCTGGGAGATACCAGCAAGCTGTATAAAGGTAGAGGGAGAGGGCAAAGATGGCATCCACCAGCCTCTGTTCCCTGAGAATACCTCTGCAGGCCCTAGATGTATGCCAAACTGGAAAGCTGCCCCTCAGGCCAAAGCTCCTGCACAAGCAAATAGGCCTCTTTCTCAGAAAGACTAGGGGTGTGTTTCAGTCTGCTGTCTGTGCAGTGCCCTGGGAGTGGTAGTCTGCCAATAACTGTCTTTCCAATTGTTACAGTCCGTGGGAGCCAGGTGATCAAGGGGCGTCCCTTGGATGGCAGCCACAAAACACAGGGCACCAGATGCATGTAAAAGCTCCCCTCCAGGAGATACTGGTGCTCTGGAGCATGGCAGAGGGAGAATGCAAAGATGGCACCCACTAGCTGGAATGAGGCAGAGGGAGAGTGTACAGAGGGCACCTGCCAGGGAAAGAAAAAGAGAGAAAAAAAAATGATGGTGCCCACCAGCTAGAGCGTGAAGATGGTGCCTGCCAGCTGGAACAAGGCAGAGAGAGAGCATATAGATGGTGCCCGCAGGAAAACAGGGAAGAAAAAGAAAAAAAAAAACCACCTAGCATTTAAGAAAAGAAAGATAATGCCCGCTGGCTAGAGTGAGGCAGAGGGAGAGCGTGAAGGTGCCTACCAGGCAGCAGCCTCTAAATTTGTGCTAAATTAAACGCCTCTCCCTCAGGCCACCGCTTTAAGATGAGTAAATGAGCCTCATTCACATAAAGTCTGAACACCTCTCAATCAGCTGCCTCTAGATCGAGTCCTTAAGCTGGTGAGTCCGAGCAGGTGAACCCTGTAAGAGCCGTTTCTCAGATCATTGTAGCCTTGTGGGTCTCGTGGACGCGAGCCCTGTTGGTTTTCAAAGCTAGATGTTTTGGGGGCTCATCTCTCAGGTGCAGGTCTTAAAAGTTGGGGTGCCCGATGTGGGGTTCAAACTCTCCACTCCTCAGGGAGAAGCTCCTGGTTTTGAGTTCCCTCCTGACTGTAGGTAGCTACACCGGGGATGGAGTTTGTGGCAAGATTGTGTCCCAGCCTCTCCTACCTACTTCAGTGTTGTCCTTCTCTCATTCTCCTGATGCATAAGAGTTGCTCAGATAGTTTTTAGGTTTTTTTTTCAGGTGAAGTTGTTCCATATTTAGCTTCACATTCAGTATGTCCATGGGAAGATATGAGCCCAGGATCCTCCTATGTCGCCATCTTGAACCAGAACTCTGTGCTTAACTTTGAAAAAATATGATATGGAAAACTTTACCCTTTTTTTTCAGAGTCCACATGTGTTCCCCCAAACAATGTTTCAGTCCCACTGCTGATGCCTCTTGTGACCTTAATGGAGCGCCAGGCTGTCACTTTTGAAGGAACTGACATGTGGGAAAAAAACGACGAAAGCTGTGAGATTATGCTGAACCATTTGGCAACAGCCCGACTCATGGCAGAGGCTGCAGACGGCTACCGGATGAATGCCGAGAGGATTCTGGAAGGTAAGAGCTGTTTTTTGTAAGCTGAGCTCTGCATAGTAATTGGAATGAAGAAATGAAAGAGCATGGATGCCCTTAGTTACAAAAAGACCAAGTAGAAAAAATTAGGGCATGGGAATTCCATTTCCTATATGATTGATCATTACTTCCTTCTAATTCCTAAATGACTCAAGGACCCTCTTTCTCCTTTCTTTTTATGTGCTCTGTTGTCAGTGGTATAGAATAAACAGAAAGGGTCAAGGAAGAATTGGTCAGCTTGCCTATCATTAGTCCCTCTAATGATCGCTCTTAGAAAAGGTGATGGGCCAACATGAGAAGATAGACTTCCACTTGAGTTCATTTATCTGCATTCCCGTTTCTTCCCAGTTACCCTGGGAAGTGGGTTCCCCTGCTCTTAGCATCAGAGGGTCCAATGGGGAAAAATACAAATCACAAGTACTTGGGTTTAGATTAAAGTGTTTCTTAAGGTGGGGGCTGGCCCAGTGACGCAAGCGGTTAAGTGCGTGTGCTCTGCTGCGGCGGCCCGGGATTCACGGGTTCAGATCCCAGGCACGCACCGACGCAACGCTTGGCAAGCCATGCTGTGGCGGCATCCCATATAAAGTGGAGGAAGATGGGCATGGATGTTAGCCCAGGGCCAGTCTTCCTCAGCAAAAAAAGAGGAGGATTGGCAGATGTTAGCACAGGGCTGATCTCCTCACAAAAAATAAAATAAAGTGTGAGGGGCCAGCCCGTGGCTTAGCGGTTAAGTGCGTGCACTTGGCTACTGGCAGCCTGGGTTCAGATCCCGGGCACACGCCGATGCACCGCTTCTCCAGCCATGCTGAGGCCGCATCCCACATACAGCAACTAGAAGGATGTGCAACTATGACATACAACTATCTACTGGGGCTTTGGGGAAAAAAAGGAGGAGGATTGCCAATAGATGTTAGCTCAGAGCTGGTCTTCCTCAGCAAAAAGAGGAGGATTAGCAGGGATGTTAGCTCAGGGCTGATCTTCTGCACAAAAAAAAAATAAATAAAAAATAAATAAAATAAAAAAGTGTGACTTAAGGAATGGCCAACTAGGCTGAAGAGGGAGGTTGGGTACAGGTGGAAAGGCCTTCCATGTAGGACTGTGGCTGAGGAAGAGCCAGTGAAGTGTTTTAAACATGGAAGGATGTCATCATATTGTCAGATTTATGTTTTAAATCTGGCATCTGTGGAGGAAGGCTGGAGGGCTGAAGGCTTGTAGGCAAAAAGACCATTTAAGAAGCAAGTACAAGAATGAGGGCTTTACCAAGGCAGTTAGCAGGGATAACTGTTTTCTCTTCCTCACTATAAAATTTTTAAAATTCTTCAGTTTTTTCCATAAGGTTAAGAACTGTATGAGGCAGGAGAGGCCTATTACTTCATACAAAAACAAAGTTATTGCTTCAGAACCAGAATTTGGGAATAAACAATTTGCAGTGTGTCCACTGTAGTTGTAAGCACCACATACTTGTTTCATTTTTTTCCTCAGGAAGTTCTCCAGGGTTGGCATTGTAGGACTCAAAACAATAAAAGCACATAATTCAATTCACCAGATATTAGAGTGTCTCCTTATACAAAGCCAATAAATATATTACATTGGATGTTGCCTAAGCCAATATATTAGGATGGGTTTTGAGAAAAGTGTGCTGTAAGCTGTTCTACTGCAAATCACTTTAAAGGTATTTGATGGTACTGCTCAGTTGACCCTGCTACAGGTTTATATAGAAAGTTCCCATTGCTGGAAGTGACTGTGAACCCAGTAAGGGCAGAAATTTGTTCACCAACATATCCCCAGCACCAGTCCAGGGTAGGGGCTTAAAGCAGATTAACTGAATGAATGGAAGTTGTCATCTGGCCTCTGGTTGGTTATCTATCAAAAATACTCTGGCATCACATGGAAGGATGGACTAGAAGGCTTTTATTATCTTCTCCACCACCAAGAGAATGTGATCTAGATGGTGGAAATGTATTTAACGACAGAGCAGAGTAGTCCAGCAGTTATCAAGGATGAGAACCACATGCCTGTATGACTCTTTGGCTAGAGGTTTCCACCTCTCAGAGTTGACTGAGCATCCTTAGCCTTAAGTAGACAGATCTTCTCCTACATAGAGGAGGGAGTTGAGAAACAGACCCACAGATACGGCTGTCAACTGATTTTTGACCAAGGTGCCAAGGTAATCCACTGGATAAAGTATAGTCCTTCAACAAATGGTGCCGGAACTATTAAATATCATGTGCAAAAAAAAAAAAAACTGAATCTCGATCTTTACCTCATACCGTACACAATAATTAATCCAAAATGGATCAAAGACCCAAAATGTAAGCGCTCAAGTGTAAAGCTCCTATAAGAAAACAAGGGAGAAATTCATTGTGACCTTGGGTTAGGCAAAGATTTCTTAGGCTATAGAAAGCATGAACCATAACAGAAAACATTGATAAACCAAAATTTAAAATTTTGCTCTTCAAAAGACACCATTAAGAAAAAGGCAAGCCACACACTGGAAGAAAATATTTGGTAAACATATCTGATAAAGGACTTATATCTAGAATATATAAAGAACTCTTACAACTCATTGAGAAGACAAGATTTGAACAGACAAAAGATTTGAATAGACACTACAGCAGAGAAGATATACAAATGACAAGTAACTACATGGAAAAATGTTCAAAGCATTAGTCATTAGGGAAATGTAAATATAAACCACAGTGAGATACCACCCCACACTATCTAGAATGACAATACTAAGAGTTGGCAGCATGTGGAGAAACTGGAATCTTCATGTTACTTGTAAGAATATAAAATGGTACAGCCATTTTGGAAAAGAGTTTGACAGTTTCTTTAAGAGTAACCGTATATTTACCATATGACCCAGTAATTCCACTCCTAGAGAAATGAAAACACATGTCCACACAAAGACTTATACAAATGTGCACAACATTATTCATAATAGCCAGAGACTGGAAACAATCTAAATGTCTATCACTGGGTAAATAAAATGATGTCCGTATAACTGAATACTACTCAGCAATAAAAAGGAATGAATTATTGATAACATGCAACAATATGAAATAATCTCAAAAACATCACGCTAAGAAGGCAGACACACAAAAAAGTCCATAATTCTGTAATGCCATTTATATCAAATTTCTAGAAAAGGCAAAACAATAGCAGCAGAAAGCAGATCAGTGGTTGGCTGGGATCTGAGACAGGAACAGGGATTGACTGCAAAGAGGTATGAGGGAACTTTCTAGGGTGCTAGAAGTGGTCTGAAACTGGTGGTGACGGTTGTGCAACTGTATAGATCTATAATTATAAATCAAACTGCAGCTAAAATGGATGAATCATGACATGTAAGTTATATATAAATAAAGCTGTAAAAAAAACCCAAGAAGGTACTCTGAACACTCCTTCTCACAGCACTACAAACCAGAGTGGCTCGTGTACACGAGTCTTATCATGTTTTAGTGAGTTTTCTTGTTACTCCTCCTCTAAACGTGCTCAGGTTCAGAGTTTTCAACACTATGTTTTAGGCAGTTGTTTTGTTTTGTTTTTATTAGGTTTTCAACCAGATGAAGAAATGAGTGAAATCTTCAAGACTGAATTTCAGATGCGATTGCTGTGGGGCAGCAAAGGTGCACAAGTCAATCAGGCAGAGAGATACGAGAAATTCAACCAGATTTTAACTGCCCTCTCACGTAAATTGGAACCTCCTCCTGTAAAGCAGGCAGAGCTTTGATAACTCTCCAGAGAACCTGAGGATATTCTTTCAAGCTTCTCCAGTTTCTTCTTTGGGAAAGCTTATGATTTGATAAAGTAATAATGTGCAAATCTGACAATATACAAGCTTTTAGTATCCACAGGATATTAAACATGTAAATTGCACAGAGCACACTTATTTATGAACTGTTTAAAATTACTACTGATTTTTTAAATGAATGATAATTTATTATTAGGGTAACTATTGCTAATGTTGATCAGCAAATTTAAGAGAAGACCTAGCCTAGCTATGTTGGCTGGTTGCTTTATATTACCAAGGTATTTGACCATTTTAGTTTTAATTCCATGTCAGATAAGTGTAAATAGAAAAGACTTTAAAAGCATGAAACATTTCAGAAGGTATCAGTTGTATGATATTCTTTAAATATGAAAAGTGTAAATAGTCATGAAAATATATCTTTTTGTGAAACAATTGTATCCAGTCTCTTTAATGTTAAACCACTCATCATAGTACAGTAAGTCTACCGCCTACCTTCCTGGGGCACCCTCTTCCCTAGCCACTATATCTTGATAGTAAACAAAAATTAATGAGCGTGGAATGGAAAATTTAAGGTTTCTGGCTTAGGAGACAGAGTGAATAGTTGATACATGGGAAAGCTGGCTCCAGAAGACCTAGGTTCAAACTGAAGCTGTGGCGCTTGCTCGTGGTTGGACTTGGGTCAAGTCCAGTATGCAACATAGCACTGGTACAAAGTGAGCACCCAGATGTTAGTATATTTCATGACCTCTTCACCCACTTCATGTATTTTCTAGGTTTTTTACTTCCCAAGGGGATACTGTCTGGTTTATCAGTATTCCTCTCAATTTTTTTCTATTGTAGAAAATTTGGAATACAAGATTTTAAAATAAAATAATAAACTTCTGTCATTCGGCCACCAACTGTCAACTGTCTTAAAGGGTCCCTGTTAATAGGCTGGGGAAAAATCCAGCTGCCAGCAAAGAGAAGTTACCAGGAAACAAGCCTGTTTTTCATGCACAGCTACAAGAAGAAAAATAATTGTAATAATAGCCTTTGGTGAGGATTTGCAACTACAAGCCTGTCCTCAAATACGTCTGGAGTAAAATTTACAAAACCAAGAAACTGATTTACAATGGTCCCAGGTTGGTGGCATCTCTGGGGCCTGGCAGACATAAACCCATCCTCTCAGGAGGAAAGCGTCTGGCATTCCCATAATTAAAGTAAACCAAAAATGAAAAAAAAATATATATATATGTATATACAAAAAAGTATATATGTAAAAAAACAAGCAGGCAACACCATCATGAATAAAATGCTGCAAAAAAAAAGATTTAGAACCCCAATGCCTTCAGATACTGGAATTACTGTATTTTGAATGCAATCATATACGGATATGTATAAGGAAAAAAATGAACTCACAGAGGAAATGAGAATTAAAAAATGATCAGATTTTAAGAGAAACTAGATCCTTTAGAAATGTATAATGAAATTAAAAACTCAATGGATGCTAATATTAAACAGAAGATTAGATCCAACTGAAGCTTTAATGAACTGGAAGACATATCTGACATGCCCAGAATACAGCAGAGACAAGAAGAGGAAAAACAGAAGAGAGATTAAAAGACTTAAAGGATTGAAATAGAATGACCCAATGCATCTCATCAGAGCTCCAGAAGGAAAGAAAGTGGGGTGGAGAGGCAGCAATTCACCCAGAAGAAAGGTCTGAGATTTAAGGATTGGTGAGCAGAGAAATTGGTAAGCTTAAAGGTATAGCAGAAAAAACACTAAACATCATAGTGTCTTCTACATGAAGTTAAAAAGGCAATTAAAACAATAGCACAAACCAGGAGAGGGGTGATCAGAGTTACGTGAATTCTGACAGTGTTATCCCTTCTAATCACTACAAGGATTAAGATATTGATAAGTTAAGTTTTAAGTATTTAAAATGTCAAGGATGAATACTACAAGGACAGAAATTAGGGTCAAAGTTTCACACTTGAAACAGTGGAGAAAACAAAAATATATATATATGTAAACAAAAATATATATGTATGAAAAGTGAGATGAATAGCAGGCACAAAGATGGCAGAAATAAATCCAAACTTATCAATAATCATTATAAAATAGCCTGAGCCTGCCAATTAAAAGTCAGAGATGGCCACTCAGATTTAAAACAAAATAACCTTATACTGTTTACAAGAAACATGAAGCATAAAGACACATGAAAATTTATAGTCCATAAAAAAGGAAAATTATGAGAGAGGGAACAGAGTGTACTTTTTAATGGGGATGTGGCAGGTTTCTGGGGTGCTGGTAAGGCTTTATTTCCTGACTCAAGTCACTTTCTAATAACTTAAGCTGTACACTTATGTTTTATGCATTCATATGAATGTTTATAATAAAATGTTAAAACATTTTTAAAAATGTGATACCTAGGAATGTTTCTAACAAACAAAAGATGTACAAGAACTTGAAGAAATTTTTAAACTTTTTTAAAAATCTGAAGAAAAGTAAATAAATGGAGGCACCATGTTCACAGATTAGAAGATTCTGCATTAGTTCTTAAAATGATCTATAAACTCAATGCAATCCCAATCAAAATCCAACAGGATTTTTCAAGCTAACTTAATAAGCTTTTCCTAAAACGTAGATGGCTAGGAACAATCAAGACCATCCTAGGAAAATAAGCCGGGATGGGGATGGGGGAGAATCTGTTCTACCAGATGCAAGCTCATTATTAAGCTATGATAATTAAGAAACTGTCATGAGAAATTTGACATATGACAGAAGTAACACTGCCAATCAGTAGGGGAAAGGATGACTTTTTAAGTAATTCTTGAACTGGTTAAGCAAATGAAAGGGGGGAAAATTGTTCCTTATCTCATAGCATACATCAAAATAAAATCTAGACGAATTAAGAATCTACATGTGAAAGGCAAAACCATAACACTTTTAGAAGAAAACAAGGAAGATTTTCTTAAACTAGATGGAAAAAGCATTAAATATGAAAGATTAATCAATCTACATTAAAATGAACTTCTATTCATCAAAAGATATCATAGGTGGGCCTGCCCCGTGGCTTAGTGGTTAAGTGCGCGCACTCCGCTGCTGGCAGCCCGGGTTCGGATCCTGGGCGCGCACCAACACACCGCTTCTCTGGCCATGCTGAGGCTGCGTCCCACATACAGCAACTAGAAGGATGTGCAACTATGACATACAACTATCTACTGGGGCTTTGGGGGAAAAATAAATAAATAAAATAAAATAAAAAGATATCATAGGTAAATTGAAAGAACTGAGAGGCATTAGCAACACATAAAACTGACAAAGGATGAGTATGGTAGACAGCCTCCAAGATGGCCCCCAATGTTGCCTGCCACCTGATGTTCACACCTTTGTGTTGTCCCCTCCCACACTGTACAAGGTTGGTCTGCATAACCAAGTGCATAGGACAGAAGTAATGGTATGTCACTTCTGAGATTAGGTTATAAAAAGACTGCAGCTTCCGTCTTGAGTTTTTCTCTTGGATCACTCACTGGAGGAAGCGAGATGCCATGCTGTGAGCATACCTAGAAAGAGATCCACATGGCAAAAAACTGAGACCTGCCAACAATCACGTGGACAATCTTGGAAGTGGACTCTCCAGTCCCCGTCAAAGCCTTATTTTTTTTTTTTTAAGATTTTATTTATTTATTTTTCCCCCAAAGCCCCAGTACATAGTTGTCTGTCATAGCTGCACATCTTTCCAGCTGCTGCATGTGGGACGCGGCCCCAGCATGGCTGGAGGAGCGGTGCCTCGGTGCGCACCCGGGATCCGAACCCGGGCCGCCGGCAGCGGAGAGCACGCACTTAACCGCTAAGCCACGGGGCCGGCCCATCAAAGCCTTATGATTGCAACGTTGGCTGACACCTTGACTACAACCTCCTGAGAAACTCTGAGCCAGAATCACCAGCTATGTTACACAGTAAGAGATAACTAATACAATTAGCATCCTTCATACATAAAGAACTCCCGTGAATGAATACAGAAAGACAACCAACCAAAGAAAATAATGGGCAAAAGATATAAATAGGCTTTTACAGAAGAAAAAACACACATGGTAAACATGAAAAGACGTTCAACTTCATCAATAATCAGGGAAAAGCAAATGAAGACTGCAATAAAATGCTATTTTACATCCACTGAATTGACAAAAATTGAAAAGTCTGACTCCTAAGTGTTGGCCAGGATATGGAACATAAGTAACCCTTATACACAACTTGTAGGTGTGTAAAAATGTCATCACCACTTTAAAGGGAAAATGAGGCATTATCTTTTTAAACTGAAGATAAACATAACCCACAACCTAGCAATTCCACTCCTAGGTATAGATCTTAGAGAAACACTTGTATCAGTACACAGGCACATGGATGTGCATAGCAGCACTGTTTATACTAGCAAAATTCAGGAAATAGCCCAAATGTCCGTCAACTGGAGGATGGATAAATTGTGTATATGTAATGGAATACTATACACAGTAAAATGAACTATGCATAAACATAGATAAATCTTAGAACAATGTGGAGTGAAAAAGCAAGTCTCAGAAGATACCATGCAATATTCAAAATATTTAAAAAGTGGGATGTTAATAATATATAAATTATATGAACTAACAATATATAAATCAATGTGCAAATCAACAAATAATCCCTTATTCTTTAAATAAACTACATAATAAAACTTTATCAAGTGACAAAAGTAGCACAAATCATTCATCAACCACTAATAATTTCCAAATCATTCATTTAAACAGTTGGGTTGGGCCAGCCCCGTGGCTTAGCGGTTAAGTGCGCGTACTCCGCTACTGGAGGCCCGAGTTTGGATCCCGGGCGTGCACCGACGCACCACTTCTCCGGCCATGCTGAGGCCGCATCCCACATACAGCCACTAGAAGGATGTGCAACTATGACATACAACTATCTACTGGGGCTTTGAGGGGGGAGAGGAAAGAGGAGGATTGGCAATAGATGTTAGCTCAGAGCCGGTCCTCCTCAGCAAAAAGAGGATTAGCATGGATGTTAGCTCAGGGCTGATCTTCCTCACAAAACAAAAAAACCAGTTGGGTTGGTATAATTTTTTGTTTGACGTCACTGTCACTAGCTAAATGACGTCCCCATGATTTGACATAGGGCTGCAAACTCTTCCAATTAATAGTCATTAATTTATTCATGTGTGTCTGGCACCTGAAGAGAGGGGACATGCAGCTGATCCCCATCTCACCTCATCAGACAGGATAGTACTATTTGGGTGCTGGCTATATGCCGAGAGCCAGTGGTAGCAGCTCCCAGCTGCAGGAAAGAGAGTGGAGAAAGCGGGGAAGAGGGAGCGAGTTGCAAGGGGATTGATGATCTTGGTTACCAGAACTGGGAGCTCGTGCTTCACGTCTGTCTCTTTCCACACCCAAAATTGTGTCCCCCACATTGGCCAACCAGGACATAACCAATGACTGGTTGGATGCCA